AGCAGAACTCAAATAAATAAAATCAGAAACAAAGGAGAAGAAAAAACAACCGACATCACAGAAACATGAAAGATTGTAAGAGAATATGAAAAATTTTATGCCAACAAATTGGACACCTAGAAGAAATGGATAAATTCCTAGAAACATATAACCTCCCACAACTGAATCAGGAAGAAATGAAAAATTTGAACGGACGGAGTACTAGCAATGAAATTGAATCAGTAATTTAAAAACTACCAACAAACAAAAGTACAGGACCAGATGGCTTCTCAGGTGAATTCCACCACTTGTTTAAAGAAGAGTTAACACCTATCCTTTTTTTAGTATTTTCTTTTCTTCCTTCCTTCCTTTCTCCCTTTGGAAGAGAGAGAGAAAGAGAGCCCACAAGTGTGGGGGGAGGGGCAGAGAGAGAAAGAGAGACTTTTAAGTAGGCTCCATGCTCAGCACTGAGCCTGATGTAGGGCTTGATCATAAGACCCTGAGATCATGACCTGAGCCAAAATCAAGAGTCAGATGTTTAACTGACTGAGTCACCAAGGCTCCTTGAGTTAACAACTATTCTCAAATTATTCCAAAAAATAGAAGAGGAAGGAAAGCTTCCAAATTTATTCTATGAGGTCAGCATTACCCTGATACCAAAACCAGACAGAGACACTACAAAATAAGAGAACTACAAGCCAACATTTCTGTTGAACAAAGATGCAAAAATCCTCAACAAAATACTAACAAACCAAATCCAACAATACATTAAAAAAAATCATTCACCATGATCAAGTGGGATTTATTCTTGGTATGCAAGTCTGGTTTAATATTCACAACTCAATCAACTTGATACATCACATCAATAAGAGAAAGATTTTACCATATGATCACCTCAATAGATGGAGAAAAAGAATTGAACAAGGTACAACATCCATTCATGATAAAAACCCTCAGCAAAGTAGGTTTAGAGGGAACATGCATCAACATAATAAAGGTCATATATGACAAGTCCACAGCTGAAATTATACTTAAAGGTAAAAAAACTGAGAGCTTTTCCTCTAAGATCAGGAACAAGATAAGGATATCCACTCTTACCATTTTTTTCTTTTTTCCCACTCTCACCACTTTTATTCAACATAGTACTCGAAGTTCTAGCCTCAGCAATCAGGCAACAGAAAGAAATAAAGGGCATTCAAACTGCTAAGGGTGAAATAAAACTTTCACTATTTGCAGATGACATGATACTACACATAGAACACCCTAAAGAATCCACCAAAAAACTACTAGAATAGATAAATGAGTTCAGTAAGGTCACAGGATACAAAATAAATACATAGAAATCTGTTGCATTTCTATACACTAATAATGAAGTAGTAGAATTAGAAATTGAGAAAATAATTCTATTTACCATTGCACTCAAAATAATAAAATACTTAGGAATAAACCTAGCCAAGGAGGTGAAAGATCTGTACTCTGAAAGCTATAAAACACTGATGAAAGAAATTGAAGATGACACAAAGACATTCCATGCTCATAGATTGGAAGAACAAATATTGTTAAAATGTCCATACTACCCAAAGCAATCTACACATTTAATGCAATCCCTATCAAAATACCAAAAATATTTTTCACAGAATGAGAACAAATAATCCCATTTCTATGGAACCACAAAAGGCCCCAAATAGCCAAAGCAATCTTGAGTAACAAGAACAAAGCTGGATAAAAGCAATCCCACATTTCAAGATACACTACAAAGCGGCAATCATCAAAACAGTACAGCACTGGCACAAAAAAAGACACACAGATCAATGGAACACAATAGAGTCCAAAAATAAACCCACGCTTTTATGGCCAACTAATCCATGATAGAGGAGGCAAGAATACACAATGGGAAAAAGATAGTCTCTTCAACAAGTGGTGCTGGGAAAACTGGACTACTTTTTTACATCATACACAAAAATAAACTCAAAATGGATTCAAGACCCAAATGTGAGACATGAAAAAATAAAATTCCTAGAAGAAAACATGAGCAGTAATCTCTTTGACATTGGCTGTAGAAACATTTTTCTAGATATGTTTCTTGAGGTATGAGAAACAAAAGCAAAATTAAACTATTAGGACTACATCAAAATAAAAAGCTTCTGCACAGCAAAGGAAACAATCAACAAAACAAAAAGACAACCTATAAATGGGAGAAGACATTTACAAATGGTATATCTGATAAGGCGTTAATATCCAAACTACCTAAAGAACTTGTAGAACTCAACACCAAAAAACCAAATAATCCAATTAAAAAATGGGCAGAGGACTTGAGTAGACATTTCTCCAAAGAAGACATCCAGATGACCAACAGACACATGAAAAGATGTTCGACATCACTCATCATCAGGGAAATGCAAATCAAAACCACAATGAAATATCACTTTACACCTGTCAGAATGGCTAAAATCAAAACACAAGAAACAAGTGTTGACGAGGATGTGGAGAAAAAGGAATCCTCGTGCACAAGCTGGTGCAACTACTGTGGAGAACAGTGTGGAAGTTCCTCAAAATATAAAAAATAGAAATACCATATGGGCCATCAATTTCACTATTGGGTATTTACCCAAAGAAAAACACTAATTCGAAAAGATATATGGCACCCCTATGTTTATTGCATTATTTATAATAGTGAAGATATGGAAGCAACCCAAATGTCCATCAATAGATGAATGGATAAAGAAGTAGTATATATACACATTGGAATATTACCCAGCCACATAAAACAACGAAATCTTACCATTTTTTAGATCATTTTCTCAATTTTAATAGTCTTACATAAAAAAGAAATTATTTTTGTTACTTCCTTATAAGCAAGGAAACAAAAATCTCTCACCTCTACAGCCTTTGAGTGCCTATATATTTATTTTTTAAAATATTTTTTAAATTTTATTTTATTATGTTACGTTACAACATGGATGGGCCTAGAAGGTATAATGCTAAGTGAAATAGAGAAACACAGTCAGAGAAAGACAAATACCACATGCTTTCACTCATATGTGCAAATTAAGAAACAAAACAGATGAGCAAAGAAGGAAAAAAAAAAGACAAAAAACAGACCCTTAAATACAGAGAACAAACCGGTGGTTGCCAGAGGGGAAGTGGGTGGGCGATTGGGTGAAATAGATAAAGGGGATTAAGGAGTGTACTTGTGATGAGCACAGAGTAATGTACAGAAGTATTGAATCGTTACACACCTGAAACGAATTTAACACTGTATGTTAATGATACTTGAACAACAACAAAAACGAATCACATCCGAAGGGCCTCCTGCAAGCCTTCAAATCGCATGCCCCTGTTGAGTCTGTGGTGCCCCCTCTCATGTAGCCTTACTCATGCACCACTGTGTGGTGGTGCTGGCTCCCTGGCAGGTCTGTCCAGCAGATGGTGAGAACTTTGAGGGCCGTGGCTGTCCAACTCACAGGGAGTCAATAAGTGTTCAATGCATGACTCATGACACAAGCTGGAGCTAAGATCTCATCAGTCCCTTCACAGCTGCATGCTTAGAGCATCCATGTCACTGTCCCCACATTCTCATATCTCCCCCCCCTTATTTCCCACATTGTGTCTGTGCTTTCCCCAATCCCTTTACTGAAACTGCATAGCAAACACCATTAACGGTCTCCTAAGACCAAACCCAGCACATTATTTCCGGCCTTCATTTCTTTGTCTTCTTCCCAGCATTGGACTCTATGGACAAACTCTCTCCTCCTTCACTTCCCAGACACCACTGTCTTTGGACTCCCCCAGGCCGATTCCTCCTTCACAGTCTTCTGGTTTCTTGTCCTCTGCCTACCCCTTAAATGACAGCATTTCCAGCCCACTTCTACCTTACTCTACACAACATCCCTGGAGGCTCCCTTCTACTGCTATGGCTTCAGCTACCACCACTATGCTGGGATCCCTACACCCATCTTTAGCTCAGATTACATGTAAGTCCCACAGGCACGTAAAGGGCAAACTTGACCAAAACTGCCCCAGGATCTGCTCCTTTCCCTATATTCACCTCTCACGGGGAGCAGAGCCTCTACCCACCCATTCTGCCCAAGCAGAAGTCTGAAGTCTTAACTTCCTCCCTCCTACTCCCCACTCACACTCAAGGGGCCTGTGGATTCCACCCTGAACATCTCTGAATCTGCTGCTTCCTCTCACTTCCTACTGCTTGTCACTTGCATTAGCTCCTCATCCTCTCCTACCAGGGTGACCACAGGTGTCACCGAAGTGGCCTCCCTCCATCACTCTCCAACCTTCTATCTGTCGCATCTGGCAGCCCGAGTACTGTTTCTACGATGCAACACTGACTATGTTAATCCTCTGCTAAAAGCAACACCTTTCCCAAACTTCCAGGTGTAAAATCATGCCTTTGTCTACCTCCTCCCCAAACATGTCCCTCACCATCCCCTCTGGAGTCCCTATTTTCCTGGAGTTCCATTCTGCCACGCCTCCGTTCCTGCTGCTTTCTGGGCCTGGGGTCACCTTTCCTTATCAAAATGCAGCTCAAGGATTCCAACCTCTGTGAAGCTTTCCTAATACCACTGTGTCCACTGTACTCTGTACAGACCAGGCACAGCACCTTCTCCTTTGACTAGTCTGCGAGGCCACGGACGCAAGAGCCACGTTCTTCATCTGAGAGTTTTCAGAACCTGGCACAGTGCCTGCCACACAGCACTTAATAAGTGAAGCACTTATCAGTGATTTCCACGGAGAGGAGTGGGGCAACATTCTCAGGGTGCATACCCCTGGCCCTGGCAAGTTTAATTAATGCCACAGCATTTGCCCCATTATGGGCAAGTCAGCATACCATCGTTTCCCAGGGCACTGGGATACTGGGACTCAGCGCGCTTCACTTCGTTTACATAGAATAGAGCTGAGGCACAGAAGTCCCCGGGAGAGGGTCTCCTAGAGTCACACCCATCACCCCATGGGCTAGAACCATTTTACATGACAGGTGGGATAGGGACCCTGATAGAGAAGCTTACCTTGGGCCCTAGAAGCTCCTTTGGGCATGTGGGTTGGACCTGTTCAGAGCTTTCTTTTCCACAGCACTGAAACTAGAGAGTCAGAGCAGAGTTTTTAAGGCACAGGAGAGAGAAGGGGGAGCTACAAGTCTGGGCATCACGGCTGAGGCCCCGGGGGACTGAGGCAGCAAAGCAGCTACGGGGCCCAGTCACTGCAACCCAAACTGCCATTTCTAGAAAGATAGCGAAGACTCACATAATCATGCTAGCAAAACAAGAAAAGGACTTCTGTAAAGTTTTCTGAGTTTTCCGATGGGAAGTGACTCAAGGCAACCCAAACAAAGCAAGAAGGCAATTGATGGTGTCTGTGTAAATTGCTGTGTTTTAGACAGGAATTCGGTCTTTAGATTCTTTTTTTTTCAGCCTGGGAGTAATTTAACCTGCTGAGTAGCTAAAGTTTTATGAGCTTCAGGAAGGGCTCATTAACTGGGGACAGTCTGGGATGGAGAGGAGAAGTGACCACAGTAAATAAACCCTGGAGGCTGACAGGTCAGGGCCTGAAGGTCTGGCCAGCAAACAGGTGTCCTGCCTTACGGCTGGCCCTTCAAGGACAAAGGAGAGTGTGTGCTGCTTGATGTCCTGGGGGCAGTTGAGGCTGAGAAGGAGAAATGGTTTGCACCTTCCAGGACATTCCCGTGATGAACAAGAATGGCGCTACCTGAAAGCACTTGGCACAGGAGTTCGTAGCTACTTCTCCATATCACAGGGGTTAAGACTCTGGCCTGGCCCCTCTCCTCTGTACGCCCTCCTTGGTTAACTGTGTGCAGCCCTCAGCACTGCACTGACAGCACAGTCCCATGGAACGTTCCAGGGAGCGTGGCTGTGTCCGAGCCATTTCATTGTACAAATGGGGAGCTGAACGGTTATCAGGGAGACAAGGAACTTGTTCAAGGTCACGAAGCTGCCCAGTGGCAGAACTGCAGCTAGAACTGAGCTTTTCTGACTCGAAGGTCGTGGTTGTTTCTGTAACGCCACCCTGCCACCTTTTGAGAGACCTTGGTATTTATTTGGGCTGCTTTCTGGGTGTTCTTATTTGTGCTCTTTCGTCTCTCTGGGGCACATTTCTTGACTTCCTCATGTGAACTTTCTGTGCTCGGCTTCTTCCTCTTCTAGGTTCTACACAGAATGTCAACTGTGGCTCCCGTGAGGGCCGAAATACAGGGCTAAGGCTTCATTTTACCAAATTTACTCTGATCCAGGTGATGGGAGAGAAGCTGGCTAATGAATGCTCTTTAGAAGATACGATTTTAAGGAAGAAGTAAAGTTACTTACTGTTGAGTGGAAGGTAATGAGAGTCCCGTTCCCCCTTTCCCTGTCTCTCAGGTAATCATTATAAGCCTCTTCATACATGGTCTGAACATGCCGTATGGCCTGAAAAAATACCAGGAAACCAAGGGGACAGTGAGTGGGAAGTTTCAAACATTCTCCTTTCATCAAGGAAAACCCCTCTTCCTTACCCTTGGAAAATACAGCCTTTCCCTATGTTTATCTGTATTTTAAGACAATTCTCCAAATATGGGACAGATTATAGACTCTGGAGTTTCTTGGATACTTTTGGAGATGGAAGGATAGACTAACCAAGAATAACTTTCATAGACTAGAAAGATTTCTGAGAGCGGAGGTTCTCAAACCTGAATGGACATCAGCATCCATCAGCCCCCAGACTCCTGGGCCCGCCCAGGAGATTCTGACATATAACCAGAGTGGTGACTTATGCCTTCTAGGTACCCTACTGGTTAAAAGTACTCATGTCTATTCATGACATGGTTTGAAAAATATTCATGACCAAGGAATATAATACGAAATACAAATATAATATGAAACTTAGGGAATGCTTTTTCTGGTATAAAGGCAGGTGATCTGACATCCATAGCATCTCAAAAGGTCCTAAGATCCAATTCCTGCAACCTACAGATAGAACCAGCTACTTTAGAAATATTCCAAAGGAGGTGATATTTATTTATTCTACATATTTACCATTTTTTAAAAAAAATCTAAAGTTCATAAACACAATACTGATAGCACATGAATTTAATTGAAATACAGTAAACTTAAGATTCCATTCTTCCTCCTTTTCATGCCCTGCTTTCCCACAGTGTGTCTTAACACAGTGTGTCCCTTCTGAAAAGGCATTCCCTCTGTGGGTTCTCTTGATAACCTATTTTGGACACCTATAGTTTGAACACCAATTTAAATAAACTGGCTTCACCAGCACACAGCAGGTCGGGCTTTAAGTCTTTGAGGATGACGTGACCTCTTTTCAGGCCAAGCCCTATGGACAAATGGTAGTCTAACAAGGGATGAAAATGCATGTTCCTCTCCATTCCTCTTTCTCATGTGTGTGCAATCTACCTGCTTCCCCATTACAAATGGGATCATCTTAAACTAGAGATGCTTTAAAAGAAATCATAGACTCTTTTATAGATTTAATGAAAGCTATGAACTATCTCCTCAGAAAAATATGTTCAAGTAAATGTATGCACACTTATACATGCAATATGCACAGGTCTGCATAATACTTCTAGGTTAAAAAGTTATGTGTAAACGATATCTTGGGGGTTATTTAGTTTTTCAATATCATTGTGGGTGTAATATTCTCATAGCCTTTGCCGCAAAGAAACCCTTTAACCATCGTAAAAAGAAATTGTAATTTCTACTTACTACATCCTTGCCTATAAAAGCAAATACTCCAGTGGTTACTTCAGCAGCAAATATCACCAGTAGGCAGGTGAAGAACTGTAGAGAAGAGAATATACTCACTTCATTAACTCAATACCTTTTCAATTTATTTGGCCTCTTTAATGCTAGTTTCATTTAAAAAAAAATTAGGCAAGATTATTAGTTTGAATTGATCTGGTAGGAAGCATCTACCTCCATTCCCCTGTAGTTTGTTCATTCATTCATTTGCTCATTAATTCATTCAGCAATTATCATTAAGCATCTACTCTGCACCAGGCACTGTCCTTGGCACTGGGTATACAGTGGTGAATAAGATACAATCCCCACATCTCTGCTATCATGGACCTCCTATTAGAAAAATGGGAAGAATATGTACCATTTGCATCGACATGGAGGGGATTATGCTAAGTGAAATAAGTCAAGCAGAGAAAGACAATTATCATATGGTTTCATTCATATGTGGAACATAAGGAATAGCACGGAGGACCCCAGGGGAAGGGAGGGAAAACTGAACAGGAAGAAATCAGAGAGGGAGACAAACCACGAGAGACTCTGGACTCCAGGAAACAAACCGAGGGTTTCAGAGGCGGGTGGGAGGGATGGGGTAGCCCGGTGATAGGTATTCAGGAGGGCACGTGTGGTGATGAGCACTGGGTGGGTGTTACACGCACCTAATGAATCGTTGAACATTACATCAAAAACTAATGATGTACTATATGCTGGCTAACTGAACATAATAGTAAAAAAAAAAAAAGAAAGAAAATGGGAAGTATGATAAATGAGTAAAGCAATAAAAAAGCGAGTTAGATAATTTCAGGTAGCGATAAAGAAATCCTGCCACTTAGAACAGTGCCTGGCACCTAGGTGCTCGATGAATTCTTGATGAACCAAAGAGATTCCATAAAGATATAAAACAAGGCCAGGACATAGGGAGCAACTGGTGGGGCCTGGGCTTGGGGAAGAAGGGGCCCAGACTGTGTGGGCTGTTGAGGCTTGTCCGGGGAGTGGGAGTGGCAGTGAGGGGTGTCCTCCTGGACAGATTTCTGTTCTGGTCTCTCGGGTCTGCTCTGTGTTCAGTAATAAACGACAGGGATGCTCAGCAACAGGGAAAAGACAGGCAGAATGGAGGACCGAGGAGATGAGTTAGAGATTTTACCCAGCAAGAGATCAGAAGCATCAGCCACAGTTAAAAGCCAAAGATTGCAGCGAGTAAGGAGAGACTGCCCCCCTAAAACTGCTGTTTCTAGACCCCTCGTGGAGACAGACAAAATCTTTCTCTCTTCCGGCCCCTCTTCCTTCTTGTTTCTCTCAGGTCACTCTGGTATTGGATGTATAGTAGTAACTAAAATTCATTCTTTTTTTCTTTTCTTTTCCTTTCCTCTTTCTTTCTTTCTTTCTTTCTTTCTTTTTTTCTCTCTCTCTCTTTCTTTAAGACAGAGGTTGCCTAATAAAATAAACTACAAGAGGGATGTTTGGTGAAGTTACTGATCTCAAACAGCAACTCTTTTCTTATAGTTAACAGCACTTCCCTGACTATAGGAATCTTAGCTGCCTCCCTCACTGTGATATAATTTTGAAAGAGCAATCATAATTATCCCTTACAATTATTAGGCACTTTTCCTCCCCAAACATCTTCACGCTAATGACCTCATATTTTTCATACTTTCCATATGAGGCAGGGATAAAGATAATATTATTCTTAAGCAAGAGATGGAGAAACGGAGACTCAGGGAGGAGGGAGCGAGTGCCAAGGTCTCAGTGGGCCCCAGGAGCTGGCGCTGGAGGCCAGACCTGGGGGCCTGCTTCAGACCAGTTCCCTCCCCCAACGCCCCACTTACAGATCCGAGCACACACTGCGACTCCCGCATGGCTCCGCAGCACCCGAAGAAGCCCACAGCCATCATCAAGGCCCCTGCTCCAACCAGCACATACAGCCCTGCGGGGAAGAGTCAGAGGAGTCACTGACCCCCAGCCGGCGGGCTCCCCCGCCGCTCCAGGGGGCCGCCTCGGCCGGGTGTCACGTCCACTGCGGATAATGTAATGGGTAACACCTGTTGCATGCACCTGAAGGGCCCTGCGCAGGGATCCTGAGAGGCAGGGGCTACGGTTATCCCCAGGGAACAGAGAAAGCTGGTACTTACGGAGGTGAAGGGACCTCCTCACCGTCACTTGAGCCACAAGGATTGGAAACCTCGGCTGTCAGAGTCCCACAGCGCATGCTCTTAATCACCTCCACATGCCTCCTCCATGCCAGGCACTTTACCTTCCAGATCTCTACCGCCCCTGTCAAAGTGGCTGTTACTATCATTTGCGTAAAAGTGATGCTGTTGAGCCCAGGGGCGGTCAGGATCAGTGCCAGGGCCAGGACACAAACCCACACCTCCCTAGGAGCCCCTTGGGCTCTCATGGCACTCAGGAATTAATTAATGGCTGTCGCCATAATAGGAGAGACCGGGAGGACAAAGGGCTGATGGTCTGCCCAGATGGGGAAGCAGGGACACAATGGGACAGAAGAGGGAGGCTCCAGTTGGCGGCGGGGGGGGGGGGGGGAAGGACACAGCAATAAGGCCGAAAAGTTTTGTGAGAATCACACACTTTAGAGGGCATCACCATGTACGCTGGGCACATGGGAGGTTGCAATGTTGCAAGAAAACAGCCAAGGAGAGGAGGCGACAAGGTAACACACATCAAATACTCATCCTAATACAATATTAGCTACATTTATGAAGGGCTTGCTTTCTGGGCACAGCAACTGGGGAAGATTTATTAATTTAATCTTCGTGAGGCAAGGTATAGTTATTATATCCATTTTCCAGAGAAACTAGGCCCCCAAAGGTTAAGCGATTTGCCCAAGATCATAGAGCTGGGATAAAAATACCCAGCTACCTCTAAAGCCATCCCATCACCATTACCCTAAGCTGCCCCGCGTCCCAGCAATAATAGCAGCCTTAATGTGGGCGCTAATTTCCCTTACTACTGGTTACTACTACTTACTACTGAAGCCAAGCCCTAGGAACCGTTGTTCTCATGGAGAAAGCAAAGGACAGAAATGTTCTTGTTCTGAAAGAAATAAAGCCAAGCCCTTTCTTATTTCCTTTTCTGATCCGGAGATAAGTTAGAACACAATGTGAGGCCTGGTCCTTGACTTGCTTAGAATAATGCTAATTGTCCCTATTTTATTTTTTGCATTGTATTCATATGAGTCACCTGGAAACCCCTCCCATTCTCTGAAAGGGTGGGGAGCGGGGCGGTCCACCTCTGGGGGGCGGGGAGGGGGGAAGCCTGAGCTTACCCGCCCACGGGGTGCCTTGCGGGGGGCCTCTGGGGTGCTGCCGGTGGTTTGTGGGCAGATCTGTCGGGTCCCTGACACAGACGGGGTGGCAGGACAGGCTGCTGCACTTCCGGTACCACCCAGGCTGTTCTCAGGGCCTCCGGGGCCGGGGCCAGGGAAGCCCTGCAGCGTCTGCAAGTCCTGCTCTGCCAGCTCGGCCCCCTCCTCCCCTTTCCTCTCTACCAAAAGCAGGATTTCGTGTGGAATGGATGTGGTCATGCGAGAAATGACACCGTATTAAAAACAGGGCTATTGTAGGCTCCGCTGCCTCAACACCTTGTCTTAAACATTTTCTTTTTCAAAGCTCCTTCATTTTCATCATTTCACTGGCTTCTCGAACAAGCCCATTAGGCGAGGCAAAGGCTCCATTTCTGTTTTGCTCCCGGGGGTCAGGCCTGGAGACCCGATTCCAGTCCTGTCCCAACAGGCTGCAGGCAGGGGGACACCCTCACCTTACTCAGTCCCCTCACAAAATGTCTCATGCGTGGGCAGCCTTATTACATTGATTTCCCTCTACAAATTCTGCTCAGAGTTACAGCCTAGGGCCCAGGCCCACCTGGATCTTTCTCGAGCCTGGGCTCCGGCCACAGGGGAATGTACCGCGACCTGACCTGGCCCTGCTCTTTTCCATTTGGTGCTTTTGCAGGTTCTCATATTTGTCTTTCTCTGTTTACTTAAGTCCACCAACTAACCCTATTCACCCAACCTAGAATATGCCTAGCACAAGACAAAACTCTTGATCAGCCTGGCGGTCTGCCATTGCCCATCTTTGCTGAGAGATACATGCTAGGAATACATCTCAACAGACCCCCACCGAGCCGCCACAGGGTGGGGCTCTCTCAGGGTCGGGCAGATGAGTGCATGGCTGCACACCCTGAGAATGGTTTCCTGGGAGTCTGGAACACAGGAAAGAGGCTGCTCCTGGGGAGGCTGGGGTGCGGTGGACATAGGCGTGGGGCCTGTGGAAGACACAGTTGTTCCCCGAGCTGCACACAAGCTCACTCAGTCCCTCGGGCAACAATCCTTGTCCTTCTAAAATAATGACGCCCCCACCCCAAGAAAATCTGCTTATTTGTATAGTAGGCCATTCTTAGGCTATCGGAATCCTAGAACTCAGAGCAAACACAGCCTGGAACTGACCCAGCAGCTCCAATTCCTGAGGCCTCTCCGCAGCAACCAAAAAGCCTTGTCTGTATCAACTCATTTTAAAAGGACTCCCCCCTTTGGATTCAGAATGTCTTGGGAGCAATTCATCCTGAAACAAGTTAAGGCACATCCTCTACCAGAAATGGTTCAGGAATTTTGTCCTGTTTCATATACAAGTAATATACATACTCATAATAATATACATTATATATATATATTTAATTTCCATAATTTGTTGCAGATTGCATTTCTCTGGCTCCCAACAGTGTTAGCTGCTATAGTTTTCCATCTCGTTTCTCTCGTCTTTAAGCTGATGGCTTATCGAATTTACCGGAAGTAGTGTGTTGAGATAAAAAGGACATGGTTTTTGGAGTCAGATCTTGTGATCTACTTCTGTCACTCATTTGTTGTGTGCCCTTGGTTAGGTTTCTTCATCTCCACATTTCTGTTTCTTCTGAAAAAATACCTACTTTATATGGTTGTAGGAATTTAAAAAGATAATGTATGTAAGTCACCAAGAACATAGTTCACACTGAATGCTCAAGTTCTCTACCTTTCTTTGTGATATGTAAATAAATGTAATCAATTGGTTTGGGGAAAAAAAATGACTCCCCCCTTTATGGGACTGAAGAGTGGCATGGTCATCAATTTCCGTGGCCTTCTGGCGGCAGAGAGTTTTACAGACCCGGCTAATGACCATTTGTCATCTAAGAATGTTTTTTCTCTGCCTCTGGGCAACTCTCCCTCCCTCCCATCTTGCCCTGGGTGCACATAATTTATATGTATCTAGAATACAGGATGGGACTTAGCTTATGGGGAAGGTAAAGACTTGAGTTCTGTGTAAATAACAGCTATCGTTATTGAGTACTGTTGTATGGAGCTTAACATGTATGAGTCACGGAGTCATTCAGCCCTAGAGTGACAACCGCCACTTCCTGGCACCTCAGCCTGCTCCATGCAGTACCCACACTGTGCCCCTGACAGGCATCAGCTCGGGAACCTGCCTCCTGAGAAGCCTCAATGCGATCAACCAGTCTCTCATTCTGACTACACGGCACCTAAACCACTCACTCCTTTATCTAGCTTTCCTTCTCATATCCTCCCGTGTAATCCTCCTGTAGGCTGGCTCCTTCCTTTACTGAGGAACACAATTACCTACCTACATCAGAATAATAAAACCTACACCACAGGTACTGCGCTTAAGCATGCTCTTCTGTTACCTCATGCTATGAGGTCTGTGGCATATTAATATTCATATTTCACACCCGGGGAGTCTGAGACACGGAGAATTTAAGGCGTTTGCCAGAGACTGCCCAGCTTGTGAGGGGCAAAATTGGAACCGAGCTAGGGAGTCTGCTCCAAAGTGTACAGCCTAACTCCTCTGGTGCAATTCCAGTGGGAACTCAGAAGAATGGGGACTCTCAGCTAAAAGGCTGTTCACTTAGCAATTTATAAATGTCAGGAGGGTGCTCTTCTTTCTTCTTCCTTCAGAAAAGGGTTGTGCAGTCTCTAATGGATGGTGTCTGGGTTTGCCTCTGAAAATACAGGGCTGGGAGCTAGAGATCCAGGCCTGTCAACTGACCTTTAAGTACATCCTCTTCTTCCTCAATTTTGTTATCTGTGATATGGAAATAATAATCTAACTTGTAAAAATGCTTTGGAGAAACTCTCAACCATGTAAGCTATAGCACCTCTCTTCTGCAACCACCACGACTCTCAAGTACAACTGAAAACCAAGAAGTAAAAAAATACGATCGGAGCGAGTCAGAGTTTTGAAAAAGGCAAGCCAGCTCCTCAGCATTCAGCACTGGAACCCTTTCCTTACACATAATGTCCAGGCACAATCGAAACCAGGCTCCCGGACTCTGAATTCAACAGGGAGAGGCAGCTACGGGTCAGCCTGTGACCCTGGAGAGCCAAGGGGTTGCTGTCCGTGAGGGCAGTGCCTTCGTGGAGAAAACCTGCCAACGTCCTCGGCTCACAGACACGGCTTCATGCACTCCAGCACCGCGTCCTGTCCAGGCTTCTGAGGGCGGGAGGGGCCGGCTCCCCACTGAGCACTCCTGGAAGGAGCCCCCGGCAGTGTCTGTCCCTCCAGGAGGCAGCCCCTGGAGAGGGACTGTAACAGGAAGTCCAAGGGCAAGTTGGTGGAGTTTGGAAGACAGAGGGTAGGGGAGCTTCCCCCCAGGAGTTTGCTGAGGGAGTCTACAGCAGAGAGAGTTCAGGAAACCCCAACTTATCTCAGTAGTTCCTCTCTGGCAGGCTCTCCGCTCTCCATGTTAACACTCCAGGGACACAGATATCCTGCACCAGCCTCCAGACCTTGGCCTGGACTCAGAGGACCTTGAGAAGGGGCGTCAGGTAGAAGTCTGGCTGCCCTCAGCCCCTGCTCACCTCAGGGCTCAGGGCTGGATCTCTCCACCCTGTCCCCAGCTGTGACGTCAGGGTGGATCTTTACC